TTCCCCACGAACTAAACACATACCAAATTTCATAACAAGTTCAGACAACAGACAGGCCTAGGAGTGGGGAGCCCGTGTGATCACGCCACTTGACGACCGATACATCCGTGGATTTAATCTCCGAAACCGCTTCATCCCCGCGACAGCAACGTCATCGACGACACACGGACATCGTGTCAGACGACAGACAGTGTCACGGCGAGTGAGGGAACATGGTATCCGAGTACGTCGCCCCCGCCGTGGAATGACGTTGACGGATTTGGGCAAGGCGGGTTCAGCGTCGGCAGGTTCGAGACTGGGGACGGTCCTGTTCTCTGATGAGAGTAGGTTTTGCCTGTTTCAAGCTGATGATCGACAGCGTATGATGAGACGTCAAGAACGCCAAGAGCCAAACTGTCCAGGAAGTTAAGCCATTTTGCACAGAGGTATCGCACAGAGGTATCGCGACTCATTGTGTTGTCATTTATCCAACAACAGCCACACAGTATATAGTATTGCAGCATGATAACGCTAGACCCCATAATGCAGCGCCGACACGGGACTTCTACAACAACATGAACGTTGATGTTTTGCCATGGCCTCTTGACATGAACCCCATCGATCCTTTGTGGGATCATCTTGACAGGCAAGTCAGATGGTGATCAATATCGCCTGCAACCGTCAGGACCTGGAGCGATGTCTCATCGAGACATTACCACGGATTACCGTTCACGTCAGAGGCGTTTGACTGTGATTTACGACTTTACAATGACTTTAGACAATGTTAATTGTAAACCAAGAGAAAGTGTGTTCTGTGTTGTGATTGGCTAATTTGGGTCACATGACCAAATGTCAAAGGGTGAAAATATGATTTGAATTCCCTGAAGCAAGCGACTGAATCACTGTGTAGGAAATAGAGATTACTACGTGAGTGTCTGTCAGGTACCATTGATCTTACGAGTTGTTTCAAAACGTATCTAACGAGCGAAAGCGAGTTAGATACGATTTGTAACGAGTTGTAAGATCAGTGGTATCTGACAGGCACGAGTGCAGTAATCTGTTTCTTCCACGCCCCAAAATAGCACCTTTTTAGCATCGAACCGATGAATTTGTCATGATTGCAGTGGCGCATTATACATGACACCACTGTCATAAGTGACGTCATCCTATGTGCTGCTTACCACTCATAAATAATGTGACCCGACACAAAAAGGTTTCCGTCATATCTGGATTATCAAGGCGATGATGAAAATGCAAACTACACAAAGACAAAGAACACGCTGGGTGCCAAGTTGAAAGTTTACACCTCAAAGAAATTACCAAATATGTACAATAATGTTTACTTCCGTATGACATCACTACCGGTGACCGACTTTCACAAAATGGTGTGTTCACTGACAACAGTACGCGGGATTTCCAGAGGAGGATTTTCGTTGATTGAGGGATCGTATACACATAAATGGGTCACGTAAGTAATCAGAAGCATTCTGACAATCTGCGTACTGTCATTGTTTACCATGTTTTCCAATGTAAGAAAGAGAATTAGTCAGAAATGCAGATAACTACCGTCATCGTTGTGCGTGATTTAGCGTCAGTCATGGCGCCACACAGGACGGAAACTTTTGTAAACGGCTCCTGTTGAATTTACCACATCATTGTAATGTATATATGTGTATTTCCATAATTAGTGCAACGATACTCTTCCCATGAATATTCTCAAACGCGTGATCGAGCCAATGTATGCAACAATTAGACAAAAGTACCTCTAAAAAGGCTACACAGTGTAAAATCTGAATTTTGCCTTGTTTACATTTCAGCAAGTACAGTTTTCCGAGCACAGTTTTTATTTCCATACCTAACTTATTTCGCATGATTTCATCTAGATAATTTGCATTGGTGACAAAGACCATTTATCCATTGTTTCGAAAATGTATGAGGAATTCAGGGATGCATGCATAGCATTAAATATTGAAATATACCTGATCGAATAGGCGTCTCATAACCGTCATTTTGTAAACACAATCCAATATGGCGGAACGTACACTTCGGCGTTCGTGTATACGTATTTTCCAAAACATTCCAGGCTTATCAGCGACGTTTCAGAATTATCAGTAGTGATTTGATACCCGTGATCGCTAATACGCTAATTTTCTACTTTAATTATTCGAGTAAATATCCGATATTTAGATTTCTAAACACACAGTAAATATATTTATGTAACGCCGTGAATTGTCATTTGGCGAGATTTACAATGTACCTAATTTTCAGAAGTCACTTTCAGTAATTTTGAATTGCCTAAAATGACAGTAAATGATAAACAGAAAGGGGAATTCAAAACTGTGAAGTGTATTAATCTGCGAAATGTATTTTGAATTTTATTCGATTTCGAAGTGAGGGTTGAAGAGGAGGGACATATGTGTCGCTGTGGCATCCAGGGGGTTTACACTCTGAAAAAAACGATTATGTTGACATAACAACAGATAATGTAACTGATAATAATAACAAACAAACTCACAGACGATTTCGAGTTTGTTTATTTTTATTATTAATTATACGGTGAACATTCGACTGAAGCACCAGCAACTTATGAATGACTTACACTCAGGAAAGTAGTCCGCCATCATTACCAAAATCACAATCACCATAGCAACAACAGAACGTTCGATGTTGATCCCTCACAACCGAGTAAGTACGAGGTGTTAAAAAGTGCGCATGTTTTTTTCTAAATAAAACAATAGGTTTACAATATCGATACATACTATGTGTGTGTCTATTTCCGGGATTTTATCGAGTATTTGCATCTTGGAAATTTTCATTCGAGCCCCTCAAGCTAACGCTTTCGGGTCTCGAGATGAATTTCCAAGATGCAAATACTCGATAAAATCCCGGAAAAAGACACACACATAGTATTTATCTTCTAATTATCTCATTCTGACCCCCCGTATCTTTGTGTCATTGTTACAAGTAAAGTTTCTGCTTTTATGAGTGAGTGAGTTGGGTTTAACGCCGCTTTTAACAGTATTCCAGTTATATCAGTCAGGGACACGCACAACAAACCGTCCATTACACTTAGTAAGGCATGCCGTCTTATTGTTGATAAAATTGAAGACGGCATGCCGTGTAGTTAAAAAGTGTACAGCATGCCGTACAATTTTTTCAGGGAGTGTTCATTGAACATGTTGAATTTAATTCTATGTTTTTGTACGGCATGCCGTCCATACAATATTCCATTTTGGACGGTAAGCCGTGTATACACATATTTGGACGGCATTCCGTACAGAAATACAACATGCTATGGGGTTTTGGACGCTGAAGAAACATTCATAGTTTTCTCGCTAATCACATGAACAACTGTAAAACATCTCATTCACTTACAGGCTAAAAGACAACTTTATCTTAAAAGCAAGCCATCAGCTGACTCTGAGTATTTACAATTTCTGTGTGACGCCACACCCCACGTTATAGTGCAAGTATTCATGATAGAAAACGTATGATGTCCGAAAACCAATGCTGGTGTAAGCTCTGATCGAAAACAGGACAATCCGCGATGATTGTCCGGTTTTCGATCATATTTTCGGAGTGTTTTTTTTTAATTTTTGATTGAATTTTTACGCGGATGATGATTTTTTCCAAGGACTACTGTTTTAAAAAACGCGATTTTCCGCGTTTCCGCGGAGATTTCACATCCCTGAATTACTAGGATGATGTTAGCATTCATGTTCATACTCTCTTTTGCCAATAATCATGATAATAACAAATGATTTGTCCTTGCAAGTCCAGGAAAAAAATTCTGCTGGTAGCTTTTTTTCAATCAGATCTGTGTTGTTATTTACTTTCACTATTTCAGTTCATGCCCTGTCATCTTTAGTTGGCATGACTTGGAATAACTCAGTTTTGATACAAGACAAAGTTAATAATTCTAATCAACATAATGTAATGAATGCTCCTTTTCCTCAATAAAGACGGCATGCCATCCAAAAGTTACTGTGGACAGCATGCCATACAACTGTCATGAACTTTTGGATGGCATGCCGTACAACATGGTACAAATGAAAAACAATCATGGTATGGAATGGCATTTTAAAAAAGAAAACAACCATCTTATGGAAAGATAAGTCATGTAAATTCTTGTATCTACGCATTCTCTGATGTCTTATGTATCAGTATGCAGGTTATGATCGTTGAAATGTCAGTAGATTCAGTGAAATTTGTTAAAAGGTACCTACCTGCCTCACTGTCAAATTCATGCTTGTCGGCCATTTTCTTTCTTCTTAGCTACTTACGATAAAAATTACGACTGCCATAAGAGCTATTCTTGAAGCTGTCTTAAACCTATCATAGCCGTGTCCCAGCTACGACAGCTGTCGCGGCTAAGACAGGGAGCTCTTTTCTGTCGGAGATAGAAAGAGTCGGGTGTTTTCCCGTGACGTCATTAGGGAATTCCCTTGACCTACATTGACGGGCAGACGATACCTGTCATCTGTGCGCCATGGACTCACCTCCGACAAAATAAACGCATCAGGAAAGTAAACTGGATGCCTATTGAAGTGGACATATTAATTCAAGAAGTGGAGAAAAATCATCACATTTTATTTTCGGCGTTTTGCAACACCGTGACAAATGTGCAAAAGAAGAAGATATGGACCGACGCTTAGTGCTGTGGTAGTTGGGCTAAAAATAGATCGTAATTTATCGGGTAGTATGGCGGCAAGTTTAAGTTTTATGTACGGTACGGGTTGTAAATTATAGGGCTTTGTAGTGCTTCAGCAGGGCTGGTGGAAGTCGTTATCTTGTAGTCAGTTAATCTATTTATTACTCACGTTTGGCAGTAAAATTCCATTGGAATTCCCTGTGACGGTTGCGAGGTCCGCATGTCTTCCTGCCGTAGCGTGTTTCCGGTTCGATAGGTGGCGCCGAGCACGCTATGTTAGGAATTATCATTTGACCAATGAGAAGCTTAGAAGATTGTATGACCCGTGACCTATGAATATGGTTAGCACCGTGGGTATAAAAGCCAGGGGCGGTATTCATAAACATTCTTAGAGTGCTAAAGAGGTCTTAAGTCTGAGAAAATTCTTAGAAAAACCAAAAGTTACTATTAAATCTAAGAATTTTCTTAAGTCATATTCATAAAAACTTTTAGCACTAAGAGTACTCCTAAAGTTAAGAGTACTCAAGAGGGCTTTTAGCTACCTAAGAATTTTCTTAAGTATCCAATATGGCGGCAGCTGGGGCACCCCAGCCGCATCAGCTGAGAACTTTCAGGCCAAGGAAAAACATTTTCAGTGTGTATTCAGACACGGAACTTATCCAGCGGTTTCGTCTTGACTGTGCAGGTATATTATTTGTCACAAATTTAATCAGGGATAGGCTTACCTCCCCTACACAAAGAAACAATGCTATCACCCCGGAGATGAAAATAGCTGTCATGCTGCGTTATCTTGCAACTGGGAAAATGCAACTGTGTAACGCCGATGATCTTGGGTTAAGTCAGCCATCCATAAGCCGTATTGTCAGTGAAACAATTGATGCATTGTCAACACCGGCTATTGTCCGACAATTTGTCAAATTACCTGTACAACGAACAGACATCCAACGTAATCAAGCAGCGTTCATGGCAATTGCTGGCTTTCCTGGCGTATTTGGTGTAATTGACGGCACCCATGTCCGCATAATTGCCCCGAGTGTCGATGAGCCGGAGTACGTTTGTAGGAAACATTTCCACAGCATTAATGTGCAAATAGTATTTGATGCTCACTACAACATACTTGACATCGTTGCCAAGTGGCCAGGATCTACGCACGATGCAAGAATTTTAAATGAGAGCGGTGTCCGAACCGCATTCGAACAACATTTCGTCCCTCAAGGCTGCCATTTGCTCGGAGACAGCGGCTATCCGTCTCGAAGATGGCTGTTAACACCTTACCTTAGACCCCAACCCGGTCCACAAACTAGATACAACAGGTACGTGAAGTTGTTAACCCCACCGACGAATTACTGTCTTTGCTTATAACAATAACATCAAAAGATTCCACGTTAACGGTTATAATAATTCGTTGCAGTTAGTCGTTTACAAATTTGTCACTCGTGCACTTGGTATTAGAGTGACTTCCCCTTGATATCAATACGTGAATTATTGTTTTGAAAATAATTAAATGTTAAGATTGTGTTTTTGGACGTAATTTTTTTAAAATTTATATGTATGCTGACATGCAAAGTATGCTAACAGAAAATGTAAATATTAAAACTGAATATAGCATTTTTGTATTGTGGAAAAATCTGTAAATCTGTAAATAATTATTGTAAAACTCGTTTAGATCTAGATCTTGACATCATTATTTATGAAATATTTAGAAAATAATGAAAACATATTTTAAAATATTGTTTCAATTATTTATTGAAGTCAAGCTAATGTAGGAATTTTGTAAATGAAATATTTACAACAGAATGAAAAAACCCATTAAAATATTTACAATTATTTAAAAATGTAAATGTATTGTAGTTAAAGTAATTTAATATTGAATGATGTATATGTATGTTTGTTAAGACCAATACATAATCTGAATCTAAAAATGATGTAATTTAATTTCTAGAGCTCACAAACGCACCAGGTGTGTGGTCGAAAGGGGTATAGGACAACTGAAAAGAAGGTTTCATGTCCTACACAGCGAGGTCAGACTCAACCCAGTGAAGGTTTGCAAGGTGGTAATTGTGTGTGCCATCTTACACAATATATGCAAACAGAGGAACATCCTTTTGCCAGGTGGTGCTGGTGATGATGACAGAAACAGTGATGATGATGATGATGATGATGATGATGATAATAACAATCCTCCCAACCACTTGCCACAGGCTATGGGAGATGGTCGTTTGTTCAGGGAGAACTTCGCTAACATTCACTTTCAAAGTATGTGTGCATAATATATTTAGTTTATATATTTATTAGTAACTAATATAATTCTTTATTCTGAATTCTTATTATTCATTACCAATCTACCACCTTATCACCATTTGCTATTTGTCAGCTTGATATGATATGAACATGTCAAAATTGTTAATGCCAAATTATGCAAGCTTAATCATTCTTCATTTTGCTTTTGTAACATTTAAAACAAACTTGATCTATGGGAAAACAATTCTGTCAATGATGTTTCATACTTTTAAACCAAATTATAGAAAAAAAGAAAAAATATCTGATCTTCCTCCCATCACAACAATGTTTTACATACATTTTAAAAAAAAATGGTAAACATAATCTTGTTACTATTTTGCCACATGAAAAAAATATCTTTGTAAATAGAAGTACCATTTGTCATTTTTGTAATCTATTGTACAACAAGCAGACAGAATGGATGTAACCATTGCAGTATCTCTAAGGAGACTGACTTACGACTTGTAAATGTGTGACAAGAATAAAACGTTTAATAATAATGAACCATTTTCTGATATTTGATTATTATTAAATATTTCTGATATGTAAGTGTTTGGTACAAAGTTTTCATGAAAAAAGTATTGTTTTATGTCTTGTTAAAAAGTTTATTCTCAATTCACAGTTCAAGAACATAAATCTCATCAAGGTCTCCTTGTCTTCAGCAGGTTAGAGTTGGAGGCATGTTATAGGAGGCATGTTTAGCAGAGTTCATGAACATCGCACGTTTTTCAGGCTCCTGACACCATATGTGCGACCTCAACTCTCTATGTCACTCTACAACAGGTATGATGTTTCCCTTGTGAACACTGATGAATAGATGAAATTGCCCTAAACAATCATTATGATGAAATACCATTGATCAAAACAGTATTTTACCTACCAGATTACCAGTTGGGAGCTTTGACGAATACTCCCACATCTTTAGCCAAGCCTAAAATGGCCACGGTCCTCAACATCCCCTTTAAATTTTGATGGTTAGAGTAATTTCCCTTTTTCTCTGTTTCTACTAAAATCATACAGGACATTCCTCGAAATAAGATCCAAAATCATTTGTGTGTGAGGTTTAAGTAAAATAAAAACAACAACTGGAATGATGATGATATTTGTGTTATTTAACAATAAAATATTACCAAGTAAATGTACAAGATGATAGTTGCATTTGAGTGGAAAACAAAAACTTTGCATTGTATTTGCTTTGACATGTGTTATATTTATATTTGTAAAGAAATTCACAAAATAATCACACGACACAGATTGTTCTCCTACAATTTTCAGCTTTATCTTCATAAAATCTTCAGAATATTCTCCGGAAGATAATGCTAAAACATGTTGGAGAACAATGCATGTCATATGATTATTGTGTGAATTCTTTACATATGTGCGACTGTACACTAGTGAATCTCACCACTTTGTAGTAGTATCTGGAAAATTATTCATGACAAAAGACAACATACATGTGCTACATTCAAACTTATCTTTGCCAATTATTATGTTCAATTTCAGAGTAGTATGAAATACTTTATCAATAAATTGCATGTCAATAAAATCACTATTTACAAACATACCTTTGATATATATATATATATATATATAGCAATCTTACCCATATTATAATGCAACAGGTTTGATTTAGGTTAACTGGTACAATCATTGAAAACTATTTTAACTCAATATATTTACATGAAAGATATCAAAACAATCAATTGTTAATGTTAATACTGTTGTTGAGATTATTGTTGTCAATCTTTTACTCAAAATTCCTGTTATTACTTCAATGTAAGACAGTTTTCTTATGAAATAACATCCAAATTACTTTCTAACCTATAATTATAGACTTTTGTGAAATAACTGAAATTACAGAACATTGCTAAACAAAACTTGATTATGTGAATTTCAGTGAATTAATCATTTAAATTCCTGTAAAGGCAACTGATATCTTGAATTAATTAAGCATAGAATGTGAAATAACTATTCAATTATAAGACTGATCTTTTCTCATCATCTCTAATTTTAGGGTTAGCATTTCTTTCTGAAGTTGCAGTACATCAATTTCTAGTAATGTCTTTTTTCTTAGAAGTTGTTGGTCATTTAAGTCTTCTTTTCTGGAGCAGGGGCCAGCTGAGGCTGAAGTACAGGTTGCTTGAGGTCTGGCCTGAACTCCATGTGGCAAGGGGCCACAAACTTCAGATTCCAAGCCAAGTATGGCTGCTTCCTGACAACTGAAAAGAAAATGTTTTACATAAATGTTTGAGCCATAAACCAGAACATAAATATCATAAGTTTTTTATCACTAAAGAAAAAAATGTTTACCTGTTTGACATATCCATGACCTGGAATAGGGTTGAATCAAAGCTCCCTTCAATTCCACTTATGCTCACATTTGTGTGTCCAAGAACATCGTAAACTGCCTCAGACACCACACTTAACTTGCTCGGACCAGGTCCCCCTCCTGCAATAAATACAAGGTTTTTAATGTTGATGTACTTCTTGATACAATAAATTAATGTGACGCAATAGACATAACTCAATTTGTCTTACTAATATTGTATGAGTTGGTGAACATGTCAAATGTTATCCATAAATTGTGTCTACTTTGGAATATGTATGATGTTTACTGCCTATACAGATATTAAAAAAAGATATTTCATACTGCATAAATTAATCATATACTAATCACATGCAAAGTAGTTCAACCTTTTGGTAATGATTCTCAGTATGAATGCTACATCTGTTTTCTTTAGGTAATTTTTAACTACTCCAGTTTGGTCTATTCTAATATCATGTTTGAGCTTCATAAGAAAATTAATATAATAATTTCTACATGCCTCTACTTTTTTCGCTTATGGTAAACTGAAATAAATCAACATTTTCTTTCCAAAGATTGTTACTTTGTCTATTTTTTACATGTATATATGTATCTTCCATAAAGAAATAACATGCAGATAGTATGGTGTAATGAGAACATTTTAACAGATCTAACTGTCAAGTGGAAAATATTGTTTATTTAAGTCAGTTAAGTTTTTCAGTAAATACAAAGGTCAATACAATATGTTATTATAATTGTCAAACGTTATTATTATTGTTGTTATTATTATGATTATGATTATTATTATGAAATGTCATAAACATTTTTGAAGGCATATTTTATTTCACCTCCCCTAAAGAATCCATATTTGCCTTCACTTTTTTATGAAGACATTAATCTTCAATGAAGACATAAAGTAATTTATTAAACATGATTGAACAGTGTGCATTGTTTTTAAGCTGCTACCTATCTAAATATGAATCTTACATGAATTCTAATCAAAATGTTATTCTTTCTGAATAAAATAAAATAATACGAAATAATTTAGGCCCAAAGAGCACATTGTTTATAAACTGCTAATCGGATCATGGATTTTCGGACATGATACTTTTTCGGACGGCGTAACAGAAACATTGTAAATACTGTTTTTAAGATGTCTTCATTTTTAATTACTTATTTAAGTATTTTGCAAATTTTCACAGCAGCAACGCACATAAAATCGGAAGGATTGTTTGGGATAGAACTAGATTGTATTGTATAAGATCTATATTTTATTTAACATAAAATTTATTTTCAGGGAAAGAAAAAAATAAATGTTATTGTACAGGTTATCAGTTATATTACAGTGTCACATCCAGTACCTATTCGTTTATTTCTGAAATTTACATTACACAGTTGAGAATTGAATATTTTTATGTAAATCATAGGATGCATCAGAGCCCCCGAGGAGGTGGAAAAGAAATGGCATAACATCCAAAGTAAAGCCAGGGGAGAAATTGCAAGGTACAAGCAAGGTGTTATCAGCACAGGTAATTATTGTAGTTCACATTTTGCAACACTGAACTGTAATAGTAGTTTTACAGTGCATAAATCACCAGATCTGAGATACATTTAATCTTAATGTGTTACAATTATTGTTTATTCTAGCTTTCAAGTAAAAATATTTGTATTTGGTGTCTTTAAGTACATTTTGGTGTCCCATACAGTGTATAATCAATTCTTAAAAGTTTGAATTTACATATGTATATACAATTCTTAGGCTGTCTTCAATTGTTTCTTTAGTATTATTTAACACATTGATTCAGAATAAAACTTTCTCAATTTTTCTGATGTAAGTAAAAATAATTTTCACTTCGACAGGTGGTGGTCCATCACCATGCCCTACTTTGAGTGCCACATCCGAGGTAGTGTGGGATATTCTGGGGCAGGATAATGTATCCATATCTGGAATCCCATCAGCCATGGACACATCCCTCCTACAGGTGGTCAGCCTTTCTGACACAGTTAATGCAAGGTAATTCTACTGATGTATTCCCTTGCCCTTGTAGTGAGTATAATCATTCATATAGCATAACTCTACTTAAATGATTTGCTATGAAAAACTATTATGTTAGCAAAGTACCTCCTGTGTATAAGTGGTCATACACATTACTATAAAAGCATCCATATTAAATTATATAACACATCAATAACAGCGAATAACCAATCTTGATTATCTTCCTAAACAAATCCTGCAAAGTGCAAGATTGTGGTGAAAAGTATTTGAAGGGATCACTAAAAATTATTGATACTCCATGTGTTTGAAACTGATTATTACCTCATATTTTTACCCTATTCAGATACATAGATACTCAAAAACAACAATGACTAAAACATTTTCTGTCCATTTATATACAGTGAATACAGTGACATGGCAGCACTTGACTTGCAGACACTCCAGGCCATGGGAGCAGCTGTCCCTACTGCATCAACAGTGTCTGTGCCTTTACAGCCGGAACCATCAGTGCCAGACACCGCCTCCTCAGCACAGGGATCCATGAAGAGGCCAGCAGGATGGAGCACAGTCCAGGAGCCAAAGTCCTCGCGACAAACTTTCCTGTTGGGGTAAAGCTATGATGAGCTACTCTACAAGAAACTTAAACTTGAAACTGATTGTTTAAGTCTTAAGAAGAAAATTATGGAAATTCAACTTCAAAAACTGCAGAATGAATAAAATTTATATCTATACCATGTATGCATATCACTTTTTAAGGCCAGAGAGTTTACCATGTTTTCAAAATGTAATGTATTCTTTGAAGAGAAAGATTTGAAACCTATTTTGACACAACCATACTCCTTTTCAGTTTAAATTTATCTTCAATAATATAATATTGGTTAATGTGTGAGGTTACAGTGTGTGAAATGTCATTTCTATCAATAGATACATTGATAACATGTCATAATTTGAATGTGTTTTCATTCAACCATATTCTCATGTTTTACTTCTGCTTACAGCAACATTGCATTTCAGGGTTCAAAATCTTCGTATTTGGGTGCCAATGATATGGATAAAATCAATAAAATGTAAGACCTTAGCTGACTAAGCTTGTAACACACTTTTTCCAGTTAAGTATTTCATTGAACAGTATTGTGTATCTCTGTTGAATGCCTTTCATATTTTTATAAGAATATTGTTCCCACAACAAGGAGGCAAACAGTTCAGGATAATGTCAAAATGATCCACAAAAGATTTTGTTAATCTATTTTAGGAATAGGGTACTAGTCATCATATTGTGTTAATTATCGCGAAACTGGAAGATGTCCATTATGGGGTGCCTGTCACTAATTGTAGAAAGTACTTGCTCCGTCTGTTGAGACTATCACCTGACAGGTATGTTTATCAGTGCTAAACAGTATTGTTATCTATGGCCAGTGGCCAGTGAGGATGAATATCTTATTCTGTGTCACTGCATTTGATATGACAGACAGGGCCAGTTACTCCAAGAAATTGTGATATGTATTACAACATGTATTTGCTAAATTTCTGAAATATGTATAAGAAATGCAGGAAGAATTTAAACGTGTTTAACTTTCAACAATGATTATGTATTGAAGACTTTATGTACTATCGTTCTTTTGAATTTACTACAATAAAATCTGTCTGTCATAAGATGTTTCTTACAAGAAGATAAATGTATTTTCATATACCAGGTAAGTAAACTGGGAAAATGCATTGCAATTGAACCCTTGAGCATTTTTTAAAGAATCCTTGAGATTCACAAATTATATATAATATTTAACAATTATAGTAACAATATTAAATTCATTAACCAGTTGTAATAAATTGTTTGTGAATTATTTTTGAAAAAAGGTAAACCTTATCAACTGATTCTTATACTCTTATTTGTTAAAATAAACTGTTTTTTTACTGAAATTTTTTGTTGTTGAATATAATTCATTAAATAGTGGTTTTACTCAATTAAAAGAAGAATTATCACTCACACTGAAAGTGAGTGTTTGCAAAGTGATTCCTGAAGGTCAAGTTGTGGCCAGGAATATCTCTCTCTCTGTAGGGGGCTGTCATGTCTTCATCCGGATCATTGGACTCACTGTCAGGTAATGGGATATTCCTTATCTTGCAGATGTTATGCAGAATTCCACAACATGTTATGATTTTACATGCCTTAATTGGAGAAAGGCGAATCTCTCCATGTAAGACATGGAACCGTCTCTTGAGCTGGCCTATACCTCTTTCCACGACACTCCGCGTCCTTTTATGTGCTCTGGAAAACAAGTTCAGAACCCGTCTAATACATACACACACACACACACACACACACAACAATTTACAGATATGTGTGTATTACAGTCAGTGTGTTCCATAATGAATTTCCACAAATTTGTTTCAGTTATCTTACAAATTGAGTAAAAATCCAAACATTATTATGCTCTATTTCATCACTCAGTGATTGAACATGAGTAGTCAATAATTATTGAGAAGTGTCTAAGCCCTTTTGAACTCCAATAACGATTATCCAGTCTGTTAGGTGAATGGACAGATGTTTTAGTCACTTGATGTAATGACTAAAATATTTAGCTTTTTTATACTTTGTAAAAAGTGATTCACATTGACCTATATATTTTTAGAATATTTTTTATGTTTTTTTAAACATAAATGTTTTTCTTGCTTATCTGTCATTAAATATATTTCATATTTTTATATGGGTAATTTCTTAATGTTCACTTTCGATATATATATGCACAACCAAATATCTTTTCACATTTGAACACTTAAACTTTTCACAACAACCAATTCTCACTTTTGTAATTTTGAAGGGGGATAACTCTCATTACGATTGCGTGTTCACGAATGTAGGAGAATATTACCGATTGTAGGATGTCTGTGAGCCAGGATTTGGTCTCAAGTACGGCGTAAGCAGCCAGTTTCTGCAGGGGTAGCCACTATCTCCAAGTAGGTGACATCCGGTTGGCACGATGTGTCGTTCAAATAAAATATGAAGCCCGCTTTCGGTGAGTATTCTCGAGTCGTGTGTCGAGCCTGGCCACTTCGCAACAAGGTCAATTATCATGTTGTTTGGATCAAATACAATCTGTGTGTTTATACTGTGGTACTGTTTACGATTTACATATGAGGGTTCGTCAACAGATGGTGCAATAATCTGCACATGGGATCCATCAATCACTCCAACAAGGCCAGGGAAGAGAGCGATGTTGTAAAACGCCGCTTGATTCCAACGAATACAACCCTGTGTTGTCGGAAAGTGAATAAACTGGGATGCTATCTCGGCGTCGGACAAAGCTGACACTGTCTGCTCTATCGCCCGACTGACCGACGATTAGGAAAGACCCAAGTCATCCCCGCTGCATAATTGCATTTTGCCTGTAGCGAAATAACGTAGCGTTGCTACAACCTTTTCAGTTCCTGTCATGGCATGAGAACGAGAGGTGCTAGGACATATTTTATCAGCAATTAACCCAGTCACATATTCAATACCACTTTCGTTTAACCTGTATCTTCTGATTAGTTCTTTGTCAGAATATATTTGCAGTACATCTCGTCTAGCGGTGGTTTGTACAATACCTATGGCAGCCATATTGGATGTCTTCAGAAAATTCTTAAGGACTTAAGTAAGCTCATGAGGTATCTTAAACTTAAGCAAAGAACTAAGCACTGAGAAGCTCTGTGAATATGACTTAAGAAATTTTTTAAAACTTAAGTTGGTTGTTAGGGAAACTAAGATTTCTTTGTGGATTTAAGAATTCTTAAGGCTTAAGAAAATTCTAAGAAGCTTTGTGAATACCGCCCCTGGTCTATTTATAGCACCACGCATTGAGGCAAGGGAGCAGTTAGTGTATGGCACTGGTGGGAGTGTGTTGCTTGCAAAGTAACCGGGTTATGGGGATTTTTGGGGGTTGCAAAATTAGTGGCATTTTAGTCGGCAAGCCGTCGATAAAGCTTAGATGGAAAGCCATGCTCGTCCCTGACTGTATATTATGGCGTGTCAGCTTAATGTGGGAGGAAAGCTCGAAGTGATGCAGGTCTACCATTTCGGTGAAACCCACGAGCACGGGTATGATGCTGACAAACCTAGAAACATAATCGGTCCGAACCGGGATTCGAACCCACAATCATAGGTTTCTGGCGTGACCAAGGGACGCAACTCTGCACAAAGAACCGCGGCGCCTTAGACTACTGGGCCACCCGTGCCCCCCTCTGCTTTTATGAAGTGAAGTTTTGTTCACAAGATGCTAAAATACCACTCTTATTATTTAGATATATGTATATGTATTAACGTGCATGCTTTCGCCCAGCTGCAATCGTCTCTCACGGAGTTCTTTCTATTGAGGGCGGTCGGGTAGCCTAGTGGTTAAAGCGTTTGTTCGTCACGCCGAAGACCCGGGTTCGATTCCCTACATGGCCGTGATATTGCGGGAATATTTCTAAAAGCGGTGTTAAACCATACTCACTCACTCACTCTTTCTATTGGACGTCAGTTTATTTATTCCAACCATGGCTCGGGAACAATAACCAGTGAACCAAGTGATTTAAAAGAGAGGCCTAAGGTTCAGTTAGAATCTCCTGGGACTTGGAGCAGTCGTATATTGACCTCTAGTATCAAATACTGAGAGATAAGAGGGTGTGTGTATAACACACGTCAAAAAACAATTCGTTATCTATGGTGGCCAGGAGGGGATATCGCTTTCGTACTTAATCCAGGCTTGCCTCATTCTCTTGACATGTCGAGAAACAGTTGTAGCTGATAGTTATTACCAGGATATGAGCCGCAGTCACGAGCTTGACTACGGAAGCGTAGTAGGGCCACGGTGAAGTGTTTGTTTTTTAAGTATCTCCAACGTAGGACTTATAATATCCTACGTAGGAGATAGTGATTCTAGGTCATACTAAGTCCTACGTAAGAGATAGTAAGTCCTACGTAGGAGATACTAAGTCCTACGTAGAAGATACTAAGTCCTACGTAGGAGATATTTAGATAAAAAAAAAATCACCGTGGCCCCACTACGCTTCCGTACTTGACTGTTTGACTGTCAACTGAAAGCTATTTGAATGCCCGGGTCTCGGCTATAAAATGTTTGTTGTTAGTAGTGAATAAGTGTGAGGGTCCAACCTAGCTTTGAACAGTGTTTCGGTTATATCACGTGTCAGTTTGATTTGACAGGCATGCCTGAAGTGAGTGAGTGAGTTGGGTTTAACGCATCGGGCTTTCCTCCCACATTATGCTGACACGCCGCGATATAACTGGAACACTGTTAAAGTCGGCGTTAAAACCGACTCACTCACTCCTTTTTTGCAGAACACACGTTTCACCATACCTAACGATTTTACGAGCGCTTTCAGCTAATACTGATTGAGCACTCGGGGAAAATGTTGATTTTGTGCACAAATAATGTAAATAGGAGGCTCATATATAGGGGCCAATTTAAAATGTTTAAAGAGTGAAAACTTAGCTCATGACAATCAGGGTCGTGGTTTTCATCAAATGAGTAAACGTCTAAGGCCTTGGGCAGTTAAGACTTCCCCAAACATCAAGTGGGCGTTCGGGTAGCCTAGTGGTTAAAGCGTTCGCTCGTCACGCCGAAGACCCGGGTTCGATTCCCGACATGGGTACAATGTGTGGGACCCATTTCAGGTGTCCCCCGTGGTTAAGTTGACAAGCTGTGATATGATATTTTTGTAAACTGTTATTTCATGTGGTGTTAACCACATTCAAATCATCCCATTATAGCTCTAAAAATAACTAGCCACGTCGCAGGTCACCCTGACACCAGGGCTGCACTTTACATACCATTGTTTGTAACCTTTCACACACAGCTCTTCATGTGGGCAATGTCCGGCTGGCTAATAACCTGATAATACTTTTTGGATACGCTACCCACTGACCAAAGTTCATTTGCATTTAGACATCAGCTAAGTGTTTGCCTTAATGTATCGGTCTGCTTGAGAAAGTACTCTTGTCTATGTTAAAAATAATAATTTCACAGTGAAACCGTCAAGCTGACCCAGATATTGTTTTGATCATATTTGCATAAGTGCGAGACACAACGATACGTGCACAAACATTCGCTGCGTTTAAGAATACAGTAAAGTACGTTTATAACGAACACGCTTATAACGAACTGACGGATATAACAAACTGATTTTTTGGTCCCGACAAACTAAGTTAGTGGTCCCTTCGAGTTCGTTATAACCGTAGTTTACTGTAGTTCTATTCAAAGGCAGAAATGGAACTTTTGCGTAATGATCGTGACGGGGCTAAATATAAAAACATACAGAGTACATGCACATCGCTAAATATTTCAAATTCGAAGGGTTTTGTTATTACAAACTTGTAGATTGACGAGTTACCTTCACTGTATTCGGACATGGCTGTGTTTGTTCCGTGGGTTGCTGTTGTCGATTATGTTTGCCGCGTTTACTTCGGGCACTGGTATTATCTGTATTACTTGGTGACGTGGTATGCACGCTTGTAGGCAGTACAGTGTTTCTAACCCAGTTGTCAACAACCCCTGTCTTTCAGGATGTGAGTTGTCATGTGGCGCAGGGTCTTTACTTGAATAGTGTCCTTCTCTGGTGGATGGATGTCGCGGTGGATGTTTGTGACGGGGAATGGGGTGTGGCGGTTATGGTGATGGATGGGGTGTGGCGGTGGATGGGGTGTGGCGGTGGATGGGGTGTGGCGGTGATGGATGGGGTGTGGCGGTGATGGTGGTGGATGGGGTGTGGCGGTGATGGTGGTGGATGGGGTGTGGCGGTGGTGGATGGGGTGTGGCGGTGATGGATAGGGTGTGGCGGTGGATGGGATGTGGCGGTGATTTTTTGGGTGTGGCGGTGATGGATGGGGTGTGGTAGTGGATGGGGCGTGGTGGGGATGGATGGGGTCTGGTGGTGGATGGGGTGTGGCAGTGGATGGGGTGTGGCGGTGGATGGGGTGTGGCGGTAATGGATGGGGTGTGGCGGTGGATGGGGTGTGGCTGTGGATGGGGTGTGGCGGTAATGGATGGGGTGTGGCGGTGGATGGGGTGTGGCGGTGATGCATGGGGTGTGGCGGTGGATGGGGTGTGGTGGTGATGGTGGTGGATGGGGTGTGGCGGTAATGGATGGGGTGTGACGGTGATGCATGGGGTGTGGCGGTGGATGGGGTGTGGTGGTGATGGTGGTGGATGGGGTGTGGCGGTAATGGATGGGGTGTGACGGTGATGGATGAGGTGTGGCGCTGGATGGGGTGTGGAAATGGATTGGGTGTGGCGGTGGATTTGGTGTGGCGGTGATGGATGGGGTGTGGCGGTGGATTGGGTGTGGCGGTGGATGGGGTGTGGCGGTGATGGATGGGGTGTGGCGGTGATGGTGGTGGATGGGGTGTGGCGGTGGATGGAGTGTGGCGGTGATGGATGGGGTGTGGCGGTGATGGCGGTGGATGGGGTGTGGCGGTGATGGATGGGGTGTGGCGGTGATGGATGGGGTGTGACGGTGATGGATGGGGTGTGGCGGTGATGGATGGGGTGTGGCGGTGATGTTGGTGGATGGGGTGTGGCGGTGATGGATGGAGTGTGGCGGTGATGGATGGGGTGTGGCGGTGGATGGGGTGTGGCGGTGATGGCGGTGGATGGGGTGTGGCGGTGATGGATGGGGTGTGGCGGTGATGGATGGGGTGTGACGGTGATGGATGGGGTGTGGCGGTGATGGATGGGGTGTGGTGGTGGATGGGGTGTGGTGTTGGATCGGGTGTGGTGGTGGATGGGGTGTGGCGGTGGATAGGGTGTGGCGGTAATGGATGGGGTGTGGCGGTGGATGGGGTGTGGCGGTGGATGGGGTGTGGCGGTAATGGATGGGGTGTGGCGGGGATGGGGTGTGGCGGTGATGGATTGGATGTGGCGGTGGATGGTGTGTGGCAGTGATGGATGGAGTGTGGTGGTGGATGGGCTGTGGCGGTGATGGATGGGGTGTGGTGGTGGATGGGTCTGGCGGTGGAAGGGGTGTGGCGGTGATGGATGGGATGTGGCGGTGGATGGGGTGTGGCGGTGATGGATGGGGTGTGGTGGTGGATGGGGTGTGGCGGTGCATGGGGTGTGGCGGTGATGGATGGGGTGTGGCGGTGATGGATGGGGTGTGGTGGTGGATGGGGTGTGGCGGTGGATGGGGTGTGGCGGTGGATGGGGTGTGGCGGTGATGGATGGGGTGTGGCGGTGATGGATGGGTCGTGGCAGTGATGGTGATGATGGATGGGTCATGGCAGTGATGGTGGTGATGGATGGGTTGTGGCCGTGATGGTGGAGATGGATGGGTCGTGGCTGTGATGGTGGTGATGGATGGGTCATGGCAGTGATGGTGGAGATGGATGGGTTGTGGCGGGGATGGTGATGATGGATGGGTCATGGCAGTGATGGTGGTGATGGATGGGTTGTGGCAGTGATGGTGGAGATGGATGGGTCGTGGCTGTGATGGTGGTGATGGATGGGTCATGGCAGTGATGGTGGAGATGGATGGGTTGTGGCGATGATGGTGGTGATGGATGGGTTGTGGCGGTGATGGTGGAGATGGATGGGTCATGGCAGTGATGGTGGTGATGGATGGGTTGTGGCGATGATGGTGGTGATGGATGGGTTGTGGCGATGATGGTGGTGATGGATGGGTTGTGGCGATGATGGTGGTGATGGATGGGTCGTGGCGGTGATGGTGGAGATGGATGGGTCATGGCAGTGATGGTGGTGATGGATGGGTTGTGGCAGTGATGGTGGTGATGGATGGGTTGTGGCAGTGATGGTGGTGATGGTAGGTTGTGGCGATGATGGTGGTGATGGATGGGTTGTGGCAGTGATGGTGGTGATGGATGGGTTGTGGCAGTGATGGTGGAGATGGATGGGTCATGGCAGTGATGGTGGTGATGGATGGGTCGTGGCAGTGATGGTGGAGATGGATGGGTCGTGGCTGTGATGGTGGAGATGGATGGGTCATGGCAGTGATGGTGGTGATGGATGGGTCGTGGCAGTGATGGTGGTGATGGATGGGTTGTGGCAGTGATGGTGGAGATGGATGGGTCGTGGCTGTGATGGTGGTGATGGATGGGTCGTGGCTGTGATGGTGGAGATGGATGGGTCATGGCAGTGATGGTGGTGATGGATGGGTCATGGCAGTGATGGATGGGTCGTGGCAGTGATGGTGGTGATGGATGGGTCGTGGCAGTGATGGTGGAGATGGATGGGTCGTGGCTGTGATGGTGGAGATGGATGGGTCATGGCAGTGATGGTGGAGATGGATGGGTTGTGGCTGTGATGGTGGAGATGGATGGGTCATGGCAGTGATGGTGGTGATGGATGGGTCGTGGCAGTGATGGTGGTGATGGATGGGTCATGGCAGTGATGGTGGTGATGGATGGGTCGTGGCAGTGATGGTGGTGATGGATGGGTCGTGGCGGTGATGGTGGTGATGGATGGGTCGTGGCGGTGATGGTGATGATGGATGGGTCTAGGGGTTATGGTGATGATGGACGCGTTGTGTCGGTGGTAATGGTGGTGGATGGGTTTTGGCGATGGTGGTGGTGATGGACGTCGTGGCGGTGATGGTGGTGGTGGGTGGATCGTGGCAGTGGTGGTGATGCATGAGTTATGGCGATGGTAGTGGTGGTGGATGGGTTGTGGTGGTGATGGTGGTGGTGGGTGGATCGTTGCGGTGATGGTGGTGATGGATGGGTTGTGGCGATGATGGTGGTGATGGATGGGTCGTGGCGGGGATGGTGGTGATGGATGGGTTGTGGCGATGATGGTGGTAATGGATAGGTTGTGGCGATGATGGTGGTGATGGATAGGTTGTGGCGATGATGGTGGTGATGGATAGGTTGTGGCGGGGATGGTGGTAATGGATGGGTTGTGGCGATGATGGTGGTGATGGTAGGTTGTGGCGGTGATGGTAGTGATGGATGGGTTGTGGCGGTGATGGTGGTGGTGGATGGGTTGTGGCGATGATGGTGGTGATGGATGGGTTGTGGCGATGATGGTGGTGATGGATAGGTTGTGGCGATGATGGTGGTGATGGATAGGTTGTGGCGGGGATGGTGGTAATGGATGGGTTGTGGCGATGATGGTGGTGATGGTAGGTTGTGGCGGTGATGGTAGTGATGGATGGGTTGTGGCGGTGATGGTGGTGGTGGATGGGTTGTGGCGATGATGGTGGTGGTGGATGGGTTGTGGCGATGATGGTAGTGATGGATAGGTTGTGGCGATGATGGTGGTGATGGATAGGTTGTGGCGATGATGGTGGTGATGGATAGGTTGTGGCGATGATGGTGGTGATGGTAGGTTGTGGCGGTGATGGTAGTGATGGATGGGTTGTGGCGGTGATGGTGGTGGTGGATGGGTTGTGGCGATGATGGTGGTGATGGATGGGTTGTGGCGGGGATGGTGGTGATGGTAGGTTGTGGCGGGGATGGTGATGATGGATGTGTCGTGGCAATGATGGTGGTGATGGATGGGTTGTGGCGGGGATGGTGATGATGGATGTGTCGTGGCAATGATGGTGGTGATGGATGGGTTGTGGCGATGATGGTGGTGATGGATGGGTTGTGGCGATGATGGTGGTGATGGATGGGTTGTGGCGATGATGGTGGTGATGGATGGGTTGTGGCGGGGATGGTGGTGATGGATGGGTTGTGGCGATGATGGTGGTGATGGATGGGTCGTGGCGGGGATGGTGGTGATGGTAGGTTGTGGCGATGATGGTGGTGATGGATGGGTTGTGGTGGGGATGGTGGTGATGGATGGGTCGTGGCAATGATGGTGGTGATGGATGGGTTGTGGCGATGATGGTGGTGATGGATGGGTTGTGGCGATGATGGTGGTGATGGTAGGTTGTGGCGGGGATGGTGGTGATGGATGGGTTGTGGCGGTGATGGTGGTGATGGTGATACCTCTGCATGAACCTCAAAGCATATTTGAATGCAAGTAACTAGATTCACTAATTCTATTATTGGATTTTGGTTTCTTTTTGCTAATGTTGATTCCTTTATGATTTTGTCAATACAGTTTTGCTTGCCAGCCATTTATTGTTGAGTTGGGTCATACAGTACATCACTAAATAAAATACATTCTTAAAAAGGATTGCAGATAATTTATCATACAATAAACATTGTTTTGTCGGTGATCGATATCAATTACATGCGATGGCATCTATGGTTATTGTTTCAGAAAAGCATTCATATTTTCTCAATATGTTAACAAGATTTGTAATCACTACAAATGGACACTGTCAGTAGCATCGACGTCGTCCTTTGTTGTGAGATTTTATGAGCGCTTCCAGTGGAGACGATTTCGCACTCTTGAATAGAACAAAGGTGAACAGATATACATGTAAGCGTTCTCAGAAGTAATCGGTCGGTGGTTTTAGTGATTAACAGGGTTCAGCCTATTCCGGTTTAACTGTTTGGCTAATGCCAATAACACGCTCGGTCCGATTTAAAGATGAGTACATATTTTGAGAGAACAATGAGCAGCCTCGGTACATAGTAAACCTGAAATTTAGGAATATACCAAATATATTCAAAACATGTCTTAAATTATTTTTTTTCCTATTTTCAGAAACAAGTTATATGTAAACGATGAACTAAATACTATAATTGTCACAAGTTGTTTATTTGAAACTTAAAAGAAAATGTTTCTTTTTTTCAGTTATGTGTTAATTGAGGTATCCATCGATTATTCATCCAGCTCTGAGTAATCCCCAAACGAGGTTTACGCATCACAACCGGCGACCGTAAGCGTGTTATTTTTAGTCAGTGTTTCTGTGGTCTTCCAGCCTGTTTGTATTGATCAATGGCTTCCTTTAAATGTGTGTCAGGTGGTGTGTTCTGCAACGGCATTGTCATTGATATTGTAGGGCCGCTTCAAATGCCTTTCATATGACCGAAAGCATACACTACAACTTGTTCAGGGCCAAGGCAGAGTGAGTCCTGTAAAGGGGTGTTGATGACTTGAATCACCTCGGTCCCTCCACATTGGAATTGTGTTGGTGGAGTGAGTCCTATAAAGGGATGTTGATGACTTGAATCACCTCGGTCCCTCCATAATGGAATGTCAATGGTGGAGTGAGTCCTATAAAGGGGTGTTGATGACTTGAATCACCTCGGTCCCTCCACATTGGAATTTTGTTGGTGGAGTGAGTCCTATAAAGGGGTGTTGATGACTTGAATCACCTCGGTCCCTCCACAATGGAATGTCAATGGTAGAGTGAGTCCTATAAAGGGGTGTTGATGACTTGAATCACCGCGGTCCCTCCACATTGGAATTTTGTTGGTGGAGTGAGTCCTATAAAGGGGTGTTGATGACTTGAATCACCTCGGTCCCTCCACAATGGAATGTCAATGGTGGAGTAAGTCCTATAAAGGGGTGTTGATGACTTGAATCACCTCGGTCCCTCCACAATGGAATGTCAATGGTGGAGTGAGTCCTATAAAGGGGTGTTGATGACTTGAATCACCTCGGTCCCTCCACAATGGAATGTCAATGGTGGAGTGAGTCCTATAAAGGGGTGTTGATGACTTGAATCACATCAGGGTCCCTCCACATTGGAATTTTGTTGGTGGAGTGAGTCCCATAAAGGGGTGTTGACGACGATGAAATTTCACACCATCAGATCCATAGTGGAATCGGTGTTTTTTTAATCTGTGTGTGGCGGCAAATATGACTCGAGGTTGAGTGAAGTCAGTTCATGTTTATTTCCATCTCAACGTAGACAATAAGGAAAAACCCCAGTTGACCCACTCAATAGTTGGGACTATCGGTCCGAAGTTACATCAGTCACCACTGAAGGTCATTTGCGGTCGGGCGGGCACGGATGGCCCAGTCGTTTAATGCGCCGCGATTCGCTGTGTAGAGTTGCGGCCCTTGGGCACGCCAGAAACCAATGATTGTGGGTTCGAATCCCGGTTTGCCCCGATTATGTTTCTAGGTTTGTCAGCACCATACCCGTGCTCGTGGGTTTCACCGAAGTGGTAGACGTCTGAGACCTGCATCACTTCGGGCTTTCCTCCCACATTAAGCTGACACGCCGTCATATCACTGGAATAATGTTAAAAGCGACGTTAAACCCAACTCACTCACTCACTCATTTGCGGTCGGTTATTGCACGAGAGAGATTGTTGTCTGCAGCCATCTTCGATAGTGGCTTGGTGCATGTGTCGGATGTCGTGACGTATGTCGTGTCGTATCTCGTGACGGATGTCGTGTCGTATCTCATGATATGTGCGTATCTCGTGACGTATGTTGCGAAGATAGTTTACAATTAGATATTATCTTATTATTAGAAAGAGGACTTGACTTAACGTGTAATTATAATTACAAGAAAGTTAAGTGAAAATTACAAAATATAGGAAGGAAATGAATAATCTAAAAGTTACAAACTTTCGGAATTTGACGAAGATTAACAAAGTTTTCGTAGCTTATATGGGCACTTCAAACTCCCTTCACACTCCCCTGCAACTAACTGCATGCCAATGTTACAAAACTAAAAATGAAAAACTATCTAACTACTTGCAAAACTGTTTCAAGCAACATCGGTACAGAGTTATAACAAAGAAACAACTCGGTTACAACATCTCTAAATAATTACATAGTGCTCAACTGCACTTGCATAAGCTATGCAGGGCACAACCCATGGGACTTGTTTCTGCATTCTGTCTGTCTGTCTGTCTGTCTGTCTGTTTCTGCATTCTTAAAATAAGAATATATCTCTAAATTGAAACTGCATACTGAGAATCCACCAACACTTTCACTGTGAAACAACTTCTACACTGCCTGGTCATTGTAACTAAAACAGTCACAACTAGTCTCTTGGCAAGACAGAGGCTGCTAACAACTGAGCTAATAGTGGTTGTGTCCTACTCATATCTGTGATAACGTTTGGGTCTACATGTGGCGTTGTCTGTGGAGTAACCTGTATTTCATTAACCACAGAACGAGGCAGGTTGAAGGGGTTAGGATTCTGTCCAGCAGTGGAACGTGATAAGGGTGGACCTTCATCAAAACGAACTTGTTCCACTCCCACCGCGTGGTCCTTCACAGCAGGATCGTTTTGTTTGACGCCTGTTTTCTGACAGCAGTTACACTGCAT